CCACAGGTCCATGAGGGCTACCGGTAGTCCAGTGGGGGGAACTGGCAGAGTGGCAAAATTCGAAAATGCATTGAATTACCCCCGCGATTTATTTCACGTTTGAAATGATTTTTTTTATTTTTTTTAATATTTTTCCTGTAAAGATCACGACCAAATCTATAGACCCTCAAATTTGCAGAGTTGTTGGGTCATCCTTCTGATTGCGAAAAATCGCGAAAGTTTGTTTTTTTTTCCCGTTGGCCCAAACGTGGTAGAGTAGTAAAAATGGAAAATGTGACGAAACAGCGCGGCATTTACTTCACCGTTATTTTTTTTATTTTATTTTTTTTCTGATATTTTTCCTAGAAAGATCACGGCCTAATCTACAGGATGTCAAATTTTCAGGTTTTTTTGCCAATTGTTCTAAGCGCAAAAAATCGTCAAAGTTCGCGCTTGAAAATGTTTGGCTCGGACCCGCCTGTGCCTACTGGTCGCCGCCCCCCCTAAGAACCCAGTCGGTAAGGGCAGGAAAGTCCATTTCAGGCCGGCGGGGGTCACACTGTGCAACGTGAGGGTTCGGACACACAGGCACATCCTGACATGCTAGCAGCCTGACGTCGGATACATTTCAAAAGACAACAGTCCCCAAAAACAAACAGGGACCCAGTCCACCTGAGTGGTTAGCTCAGGCAGGCAATTGGGTATTTCGAAATTTGTGCGTGGGTTCAAACCCCAACGCACCCATTGTGGTGAACAAACTTCTAACACTGAATAATAATATAATATAATATATGTATGTATGTATGTATGCGGGTGGGCGGGCGGGCGTGAGTGAGTGAGTGTGGGTGGGTGGGTGGGCGGGCGGGCGGGCGTGAGTGAGTGTGGGTGGTGGGCGGGCGTGAGTGAGTGAGTGTGGGTCAGTGGGTGGGCGACATTTCTTTTTTCCATTTTCCCGCCCGACGCTAAAAAAAAGAAAAGAAAACAACCACGAAACAGAAAGAAAAACAAACGAAAAAAGTAAAAAAGAAAATAACCACGATACAAAAAGAAAAACCAAAATAGTAAGAAACGACGCGCCGAAAAAAGTAAAAAAGAAAATGACCACGGTACAAAAAGAAAAATGAAAAATGTAAGAAACGACGCGCCGAAAACGAAACTGCTAAAAAAAAAAAGGGTCGGGCCACGCTGGAAGGAGGAAAAAAAAACTATAAGTAAAAAAAGATAAAAAAGATAAATAACAAATTCCAAAAGAATACAAATTCAAAAATAAAAAAGAAAAAAAAAAGGGGCCAGACCACGAAACGACACTTTCTTGCTATCCGACGGCGGGCGCGTTCGGATATTCATGCGCATCGACGCCCGCCGTGTACCCGACCCCGTGGGTGCTCTCTCTCGTTTAGTGGCGCGCTGTGAGCAATTCGGTACGCGCGCCACTCTGCACAACACCCCTCCCTCGATCACCTTCATCCG